TTCCTATAAAGCTTTGCTGTAGTGAACGAGGAGATAATGAGGTTGGAAAATGAGTTCACCCCTTCACAAACCGGGGAGCAACGATATAAGCCCTTGTGGCTTTCTTCATTCTGTAAAGGCTCCCCCATCCTCCACCACCAACTATGTGGCGCTGGCCTTCAAAGTGTGCCCTTCACTCCCAGCTCACACCAAACCCCCCTCCGGACATTGCCTCCCCACTGATAGACCCACCCCAGAGTGTCCACAGACCCCAGTTTGAGAACCATAGCTTGTGACAATCGAGGGTGTATTTCACTGACTGCGCGTGGGAGGCGGGCTTTGGGATGATCTACGATTATAAAATATACTAAAAGCAAGTTAGAAACTCGCATAATTCCGTTTTCTGCTTTAAAAAAAAATCCCTCTCCAGTTTTGCAAACACCAAATTATTTCCGTTTCTTTTCGTTGCGGATTTGCAACTCCTGAACCCTGGCTTCCATAGGACAATAAAACGCAAATAATTTTTTCACCACGCAATTCTCACAACGTAAATGTAAAACTTCGTTTTCATGCATTTGGTTTCTTTTTTATGTTTGAAAAGGAGAGATTGTTGTTGAAGGGAAAGGGTTAACAGCGCTGCACAGAAAATTAAGTTCTTTTTGAATGGGAGCTCTAGCGAGCCTCTGCAACAACATCCTCTATAGTGTAATAGTAAACCCCAATAGGCTGGGGATTGCGTGACTGGAACAGGCTCAGCTGTGACCTCAGAAAAGTGGTTATGAAAACGATCTGTCGATCAGAGAAACGGGATTGCACTGCAGAAGTGACCAGCAATGCAAAAATGAGCCTCCTTTTTATCGCTCAGGGAAACACTGGCAATCGGCTCCCTGAACAATTTATGATTCTTTCATCTCTCTCTCGGCTGTTGCTGAGTTTATAATCGTGCTAAGGGCTATTTAATGTTATTATTCTATTCTCGTGTGCCAGTTGCATTGTGTTCAGGGCACCTTCTCGGCCCACGCAGTTGTGACTATTACATTTGCCACATTGTTTATTTTTAGGCGATTCTTTTCCGGTTAATATTTTTGAGTTCATCAATCTTGCACAAGCTGATGGTAATATATTAAAATTATGAAGTTGTAGAAAAAAAGTTGCAATTTGCAGATTGTTGCATTTTCCATTAATATAAGAAAGGGTGAAAAATACTGTTCCAGATTTTGAGTTAAGGATAATGAAATGGTAAACATCACTAACCCAGATGCTACGAAGTGCCTCAGGCAGCAACATGCAAAGTCAGTACATGTGCAGTTAAATACAGAAATCTAGAATTTGGTGTTACATTTGTCATCTTCCTTTGCAATTTCTATTCTGCCATTACATCGCTGAGAGTCAGCATTAAAATCTTAAGGGGACAAATTTTCTTAATTAACAAGTTACATGTTAAACATTGCAGAAAAAGTGGAACCAGTGCATTAATTTTCCAACAAATTTCTGGTACGAATTGCTTAACAATCTCTCTGGGCTTGAAAATAGAGTTTTACAGATTATAGAGTCTTGTTCCCTCAGAAGGTACATATTCATAGAGTCATACAGCATGGAAACAGATCCTTGAATCCAACTACTCTATGCCAGCCATAATCCCAAACTAAACTTGTCCCACCTGACAGTGTTTGGCCCATATCCCTCCAAACATTTCTTATTCATGTAATTATTCTAAATGTTTTTTAAACATAGATACATTTTTCTCCAGGCCACACACCATCCTGACTTGGAAATATATTATTCCTCGATTTTTTTTAAACTTCAAAGTCTTTCTTTTACCTTGTCATTCTTTTTGCTGTTCTCCCTTAATCTCATTACTCTCGCTTTTCTTGTTTCCCCTAACTGAGCTAAATGTTCCAGTTTATACTTCCTGGTTTAGACACTGTGAGCTGAATTTTTTATTTATCTGACTGATCAAAGTCGGAAACTCACAGGAACCCAGAAGTAAGTTCTGTTCTTACTCCGCAACTTGTATGAGATGTCACCAATCAGTTAACCCATGGTAGCAGAGGGAAGGCCAAACGCCTTGGTGTGAGAAGGTTGTTGGGGTTGGAGGTCAAAGACACAGTGGTGGAAGATCTGTTAGGGAAAGTTGGAGGTGGTGGGAGAACTGAAATCTAAGCTAAGTGGACGAAGGCCTGAGCAGGATGATCTCAGATGGAAAAGAGCCATGGGTTAGAGGTCAAAGGCTTGAAGGAACCACTTTGGTGGAAGAGAAGGAATTAGCTATCTTGTGGGAGGATTGGAGGCTCAGATCAGAAACTTGATGGGAGGATGGGATATTTAGTGAGTACACATGGTAGAATCTGGGTCTGAGGCTGCAATGTGGAATTGGAAGCCTTGGGGAAAGTCAGATGGTGCTGGGGGCTCAACTGCAGTGTTTCCTCAGGCAAGATCTAAGGCAAAGGTCAATATGCTGTAGTCCAAGAGGCCACTGTCTCAGAGGAATGACTGGTGGTGGTTTAAACTAAGCGTCACGGTGCCTCAGGCAAGGGGAGAAGTTGAGAAAGAGAGTCCTTTGCAAGAACCTCAGTCAGTGCAGGAATTGAATCCAGGCCTCTGACCTCTCAACCAGGGCTCTTTTCCACCTGAGACCATCCTGCTCAGGCCTTCACACTTTTAGCATCACTCTACATTGCAAACCAGCCAACTGAGCGAACTGACCCACTTGATCCAAGGTGTAGATGTAAAGGCAATTGCCACCTGGATCTTCCAAATCCTCACCTCAATGTAACTACTGGCTTCTCCAGTGCATGGGAGGCTGACAAAGATGGTAATTGAAAGCTGCTTGACAATGTGGCCCACGGTTTCATTATCACATTTAAAGAAGCAGTCCATCTCCGTGGAAGGGGATTAGCTTCCCACCCACTTTTCAGCCTCAGACAAAGCTGAAAGTGGAAAGATTGGAAGCGGATTTGGGTCAGGAATTTAATTAATAGTACCTTAACCCCTCACACCCCACAGATCAAAATTTTCCAATCTGATTGGTTGAAGAGATAACGTCATTGCTTGTCCTGTTTACATATATCGAAGAGTACCACGTAGTGGGTACTACACTGAAAATGATCTGGCCGAACTGTAACTTTGCAGTTAAAAGCCCCCATAAATTTGTGGGCAGCTGTAAGTGCAGTGAACAAAGAATGTCCTTCCTTCACTATTAACTACATAACACAGGTCAACAATTAAAAATTACTGATCAACTTGCTTCTTAATCCTGCTGTTAATCAGGAACAAAAAGCAAAGAGGTTTCCATAAAAATTCATAAATGACTGGCAATGTCTCAGCCAAAGTTAATATACACAACCCTGTGAACCAGATTATGGGACTGATGACAAAACCTTGGAACGGTGCAGGTATCTGGGATGTGGACTTTCAATTTTGGAAAAATTAGAAAAGTTGCAATTGCCCTTCTTAGGGCAGAGAAAGTTCAGGGAAGATGTGTTCAAAATCGGGAAATGAGTTAATAGAGTAATAAAGAGAAACAGTTTGCAACAGCAGAAGTGTTGACAGCTGGAAGACACAGATTTGAATTAATTGACCAAGTGGTGGGAGATGAGGAGAAATATTTTCTGGCAGTGAGTTGTTATAAACAAGAATGTACTGCCCTGCAAGTAATAGAAACAGACAAATTAGTAACATTCAAAAGGGCATTAGGTGAACACACGAAAGTCAAACACTTGAATTGTTTGTTCCAAAGAGCAGGGGAGTTGGAGTATTTGAGTAGCTCTTTCAAAGAGCCTGCACAAGTACGATGGACCACATGGCCTTTGACTGTGCTGTATCATTCTGTGGTGCTATGATGCTATTGAGTTAACTTTAACTCTGACAGAATTAAGCTGACAGGCTGGCTGGTCTGGAATTGCTGGTTTTCTTCAATTGCCTGTTCTAAAAATTAATCTGACATCTTGACCTGCCCTTGACCTCAACCTGCCAGGGCGCTCTTAATATTCAGCTAACCTCCTGTGAGAAGCTGGGGATGGGGGAATGTGTGAGTTTATAATGAGTATCATGGCTGATGGAATGTATGCGTGAGCTTAGAGCACCCAGAGGACATGACAGATATGCGAGTCATGAAGGAATGTACAGTATTTTGTGTTTGGGTGGGGCATGTGTTAATTTGTAATACCTAGTTTACATGAGGGGTGGGAGCATCTGTTGGCACCTTGTTTATTTTGTTAAAAAATCAACCTGTATAGACATGTTATTAACACACCTCTGTGGCAGGCAGGACTTGAATCTGGACCTTCTGGCCCAGATATAGAGATGCTGCACTGCGCCACAATTTGCGTACGTGGCAGGTGGGAACATGTGTGCAAGCTAATGAAAATCAACACAGATTCCATTGTAACTTTCAATATGGAACTAGATAAATACTTCAGGAGGAGAAATTAGCAAATCTATGGGGAAAGAGCAGGGAAAGGGAGCTACTGTTGCTTCAAAAGCCAACTTGGCATAATGACATAAAAGGCCTTC